ACCTTGAGATGTCTTTAAAAAAAATTAAAAAACACAAATAACATTAAAAAAAGTATATTTGCTTTCTAAAAAACTACAAACTAACACAAAACAAGATGATTAAAGTTGATTTGGAACTGCTGAATGAACAAAATCAGCATTAAAATGTGTATTAATTTAATATAAAAACTATACGTATTTAAATACGATGAGCTCAGTCAGTTCTGATCATTGTTTTCCATCTATAATGAGCTCTCCTTCTGCTTCTGTCTTCCTCTTTCCTTATTATCTTCTAACTGTCCTGTCTGTCTGCACAGGCTGATGAAGGACCAAAGTGTGGACGTCGTTGAYGTTGGCTTCAAGGAGAGGGAAATGCCGACAGAGAGAGAGTATCAGCGAGTGTCCATATCTGGAGAAGAAAAATGTGGAGTAAGAATCTCAAACCAGAGGAGTGTTTGGAAAAAGTCCTTTCAGTTTTTCTTCATTTCTTCGTTTCGATGTGCCGATACACTTCCAGGTGCCCTTCACTGACCTCGTGGACGCAGCCAAGTGTGTGGTGAAGGCTTTATTAATCCGGGAGAAGTACATAAACCGCTCCATGCAGACGTTCTGTAAAACCACAGCTCACGCTTTACAAGATCTTGGGACGAAACCCGTGGATCTGGGAGTCTATGACGATGTTCCAGAGACGCCTGTAGACGACGGTAAAACCTGCATTCAGTTTGGAGTGAACTCAGCAGAAACCACTCAGAAATGTTTAGTAGGTTTTGAGTTYATGGATTTATTAAAAGGCCACAGAAATAAAAGTTGCATTACAGGAAGTGCTAATATTAAACTTTATTTAGTTTTTTGTTATTTCAGCATTTTTAGCAAACACAACTACTTTAGGATGGTTTCCAAACATCCCGTTTAGTTTAAGACTAAGATAACATCATAATAAACCTTTTTTTTCTTGTGTGCTTTAAGCTTATAAAAGATTTGATCCTGTTAGCTGAGAGGTTTCAGCAAATACATAGTGGGACGGTTGAAGTTTTCTAGTAAGTGMAGCCGTAAAGAAAGTGTTTGAACGTTTTTAAATACTAAGACTCTAAAGTAATTTTTTAAAGCAAAATATTTTACTATATTAAAAATAGAACAGACGTCATTTTCCAGAGTATTCTAACTAACGTTGTGTKTAGTTCATAGATATCTTTGTACCAAGAAAACTTAATTATCGTCCAACATCTGTTTTTCCCAGATGCCCCAGTTCACCCTCCTGTTTCAGAGACGCACCCTTACGACAATCTGGACCCCAACAACATGCCAGCAGACACAGGATATGGCTGCCAGATGGTCGGGGGGGTCGTACACGTCTACACCAAGAAGACCAACATGGACAAGTATGTCTTTATATCCACAATCCAGAGTTTTGACATAAACCAGTACAGAGATTTAAATAGAAAACAAAAAATATAGATATGTTGTTGTTTGAATGTTGCACTGTAGTTGATATATTGAGTTTTTGGACAAATAAAGAAAAAAATTATCAAACAAATGTGAATATTTTCTTATAATGATGTCTTTTTTTCATGTTAACTGTTCATATTAGTGAAGTATAATGTCTCAGAGGTTTATCTAATAATTTTAATCTGCTGAACTTTTCAGAAGCATGGAGCTGGACCTGCCGTATCCTGACCTGAAGGAATATATCGCAGACATGAATGTGATGATGTCYCTTATTATTAACGGACCAGTGTGAGTGCATGAGAGTCAATCAGCAGATGGTTTTGTTGCTTTGTGTTTGATTTAACYGAAACTCCTCTCCGTGGTGTTTACAGGAAGTCTTTCTGCTACAGACGCCTACAGTATCTGAACTCCAAGTTTCAGATGCACATCCTGCTGAATGAGATGAAGGAGCTGGCAGCTCAGAAAAAAGTTCCCCACAGAGACTTCTACAACATAAGAAAGGCAAGAATAAAAAAACCCCTGCTTCTTCTTAGATGTAAAGATTAACTCAACGCTTACAGAGTTTTTACAAAGTGTTTAATCGGGCAAATCACGGGGCATCTTTTTCCGTGTGGCCCTGCCTTCTCTGGCTCCAGGTGGACACGCACATACACGCCTCGTCCTGCATGAACCAGAAGCATCTGCTGCGATTCATCAAGAGGGCCATGAAGAAATACCCCGAGGAGATCGTTCACGTTGAGCAGGGCCGCGGTCAGACCCTCAAAGACGTCTTCGAGAGCATGAACCTGACGGCGTACGACCTGAGCGTGGACACGCTCGACATGCACGCGGTGAGACCAACGGGTCAAATAACTGCATGTACGCATCACATGAAAGCCGCTTGGTGTTGATAAAAAATATGCTTTTATTTACTTCTCAGGACCGAAACACGTTCCATCGGTTTGATAAGTTTAACTCCAAATACAACCCCATCGGAGAATCCATCCTCAGGGAGATCTTCATCAAGACAGACAATTACATTGAAGGAAAATACTTTGCACATATTGTTAAGGTGAGAAAAACTCAAACACAGAACATGTAACTCATTTAAAATACACTTAAATACCAACGTTTTCAACCTTAATGTTGTATGTTTTTGTCCAGGAGGTGATGGCTGACTTAGAGGAGAGTAAATATCAAAACTCAGAGTTACGACTCTCCATCTATGGCCGCTCCCGAGACGAGTGGGACAAGCTGGCCCAGTGGGCTGTGGAGCACAAAGTTTACTCTACTAACGTGCGCTGGCTCATCCAGGTGCCCCGTCTGTTGTACGTACTTTTCCCCAACTTGTTCCTTTTAGCTCCCGTTTAGTTCTGAATGTCTCCGGTTAAACTGAACCAGATTTCATCAATCAGAGGAAAATAACTTAAATGACGTTCATTATTCAACACCTTCTTTATCAGTGATGTGTACCACACAAAGAAGCAGCTGGCTAATTTCCAGGAGATGTTGGAGAATATCTTCATGCCTCTGTTTGAGGTCACCATCAACCCCCGCAGTCATCCGGAGCTGCACCTCTTCCTGGAGCACGTGAGTGCGCCACTGAACAGGAAGTCCAGAACATCACCACGACCCGCTCCCCCGGGCTCAGAGCTGACCGTTTGTACGTGTTTCCTGGTTTTTTTCAGGTGGTGGGCTTCGACAGCGTCGACGACGAGTCCAAACCCGAGCATCACATTTTCAGTCTTGACAGTCCGCTGCCACCTGACTGGACCGAAGAGGACAACCCGCCATACTCGTACTACCTCTACTACACCTATGTCAACATGACCGTACTGAACCACCTGCGAAGGTAAAGAACAGAAGATTTTTTTTAATCTCCCTTTTATTCATTACAACAAGTAATGATTCACAAATGAAGCCTGTTATTTTTTTATTTTCATGTCTGCTGTGGTTTGTTGAACCCAGGCGACGGGGCTTCCACACTTTTGTGCTGCGACCTCACTGTGGTGAAGCCGGACCGATCCACCACCTGGTGTCAGGTTTCATGTTGTCAGAAAACATTTCCCACGGCCTGCTGCTCAGAAAGGTCAGGATACCACAGAGGGCATTGTTACTGAAGGACGTCTGTAAAAACAAATAAGTAGCTTCACCTACTTCTAAGTTATCGTTGTAGATTATTGATTTGTTAAACAACTTAAAATAAGGTTGTGTTTTTTAAGAGGTTGTAGTAAATGATTGTAGATTTGCTTGCAACTTTGATTTACTCCCTAAATATAGGAAAATATATAAACATATGCAAACTCTGCCTCAATGAACATTATTACAGTAAATGAAATCAAAATATCTGCAGCAGGAAGTTGTTTTTGCCTCAGATAGATACTGATCTGTCCTAAGATAAGAAAGTTGATTTAAATGTAACAAAACACTATTTGCATCCAAACTGCTTTGATCTCGGTCAGCATCCTGTTTCAGTTTGTTCTGTGCACGTCCTGGCGGGTTTACCAACACGAACTCACAGCTGCTTCTGTGTCTCCCCTGCTTCTCAGGCCCCGGTGCTTCAGTATCTTTACTACCTGGCTCAGGTTGGCATCGCCATGTCGCCGCTGAGCAACAACAGCCTCTTCCTGAGTTACCACCGCAACCCGCTGCCCGAGTATCTGTCCAGAGGTCTCATGATCTCTCTGTCCACCGACGACCCCCTTCAGTTCCACTTCACCAAAGTTCGTATGGCTTTATACCAGTCCTACACTTTACAGCGCGGTTTATTTCCTGGTGTGTGATATGTGTGTCTTTCGTGTCCAGGAGCCGCTGATGGAGGAGTACAGCATTGCAGCTCAGGTGTGGAAACTGAGCTCGTGTGACATGTGTGAGCTGGCAAGAAACAGTGTCCTCATGAGTGGGTTTTCTCACAAGGTAAACTAGTTAATAGCTCCGAATGTATAAATCAGAAATCACATCAAGTAGCAAACAGTTTATTATTTAGAGAACGACTAAATGTTCTGTCTTTTCATTAGACATCCTGTTCCAACAGTAACAGGTTACAAACAAGGTTAGAGTTTATTCTGTAGCTGTTTAGTTAAAGAGGACACAAWATAGCTGTTTCTATATAAAATTCATTCCACTATTAGTTTGCCATCTGCTGTAAAAAATTAACAAAAATTCAACTTGGCAGAAGTATTAAAAACGCAAACTTGAGTGTAATCCTTTTAGATACTTTGAAGTGAGGTTTTGTGGAAATAAACAATATCTCACCTGTTGTAGATAGCTCTTCAGATGACCTCATTTTAAAGAGACACTAGCTACGTTTACATGGACATAACGAATCGGATCAAACGGCCATTCAGAATAAAAATGCGTCATGTAAACACCCCATTCGGATTATTCGGACCCGATTCAGCTCAATCCAAATGAATTTGTAATCAGAATGAGAGAGGTGGTTTATGCTGATTGATAATCCGAACGACGTGCATGTAAACACTTAATCCGATCATTTTATTCTGATTGTGGAAAACTGACCTGACTGTGCATGTCTGCTGACTTTCATCCAGCGATTTCCAGCATCACAGAACTTTTCCTCCCATTTTCTCATTCGATAAAGACGGAAGACACACAGCCTKCGCTGCTTCACCAAAAAAAAAAGTCTGCGCGTCACCTGCAGCTGAACCAGAGAGTCCAGTAACGTCTCCACCATTATTAAAACCTGTCGCAGGTCTATTCTGAGCTCAGAAGCTGTTTGTTTACATTCATGACAAAAGTAGAACTTTTTTCTGTTTGTTTTTTTTAGGGAAAGTTAGCAACTGCGCATATCACTGCTTCTATTCTGAATAAAAGCCTGGTGCATGTAAATACTCATGATCAAATTGTGTCCATGTAAACGATACATTCCGATTATTTAATCCGAATATATTTCAATCTGATCAAAGAATTTTGTGCATGTAAACATAGCTAGTGTTTAATTATGATCAGATTCATGAGCAGTTTACTTGGCATCTGAAAATACATTTCCTCAAAGGTATTTTGAATCTGAAAAGAGCTTCACTGAGTGAAAAGTAGTGTTAGGAGCTCAGCAGACAGTTCAAGTTTCACTTTCAGTTTCACCCATTGTTTGCTTTATTGCTGCTGAGAGCCTGCAGGAGTCGTGGGGGGGTGGGGGATGGGAGGTGTGCTCCGTGATGAGGAAGCTCAGCTTGGAGACACAGCCCAGAGGAGGAGATGGTCCCAAAAGGCGTTTCTGGTCCCCACCTGTCGTTTTGCTCCTCAGCATGGCTGCCTAAAAACACTGCAGGATTTCTCAAACATGCATGAATGAGTCAAAGCAAGATTGTGGGCATGTTTTTGATGAGAGGATAACATTATAACATGATCTAAAACTCAAAAAAGTTGATTTTACATGATGTAGCCCCACTTTAATGAGATGAATGAACCAATTGGTGGGCCGAACTTTGGTCACTTTCGGGCCGCCAGTTGAATAGCCCTGGCCTAGTCCATAATCAAAGCGCTTCTGTCTCAAAACATCACCAGTTTAAAAAAGTCAAAATGATTAAGACTGTTTTACAAAGCTTTTTGTTGCCGTCAGTTTCATGCTGCATTGTTATTTACATAGATTTATTTGCAAACACATGAATATAATCTTTGTGCTGGAACATTTGACAAATTGACGGCAATATAAAGGCTAAGAAAGTAGCATTTGCACACACTCTTATGAAGGTGTAAGACTAATTGTTCGCTGGTTGATTTGTTTCTTTGATTGTTTACTAGTACCAGAGTTTGCTGCAAGTATTTCCAGGAGATTTCAGTTTCCACTTCTTCAAACTGCAGGTCAAAAGGTACTGGCTYGGCCCCAGCTATTATCACGAGGGTCCCGAGAGCAACGACATCCACCGCACCAACGTCCCTGACATCCGTGTGGCGTACCGCTTTGAGACCCTCACCGAGGAGCTCCACCTCATCACCCACGCCGTGCGCACAGACGAAGAGCTGGACGCCATCAACGAGGAGGACTCTCTGACCATGGGTCCCCTTCCTGGACAGCGCTGAGACCTTAGGTCCCCGACCCTTCCCGTCCCGTGAATCCCTGACCCGCTCAGCGTGACGCTGAGGACACGTAATGTGAGAGAAACCCTGCTCTTTAAACTCCACCAAGCATCAGTGTAGAAGTTTGTTGCACTTTTTTTTAGAGCTGTACATCTAGAATGTCGAGTTTGTGTTTTAGTTTTGACCTCTACCTTCAATTAATTGAATTTACAGTCAGTGTTTTTGTGATTAAACAGCAGGAAAACGTGTTTGTATTCTAGCTTTATAACGCTATTACGAACATTTTCTCAGTGTTTTTAACTTCCACTGTATATTTCTGTTGCTTAATCCGTGCACATGTTCTCTTTATACTAGAAAAAAAAGATTAGATAAGATGCAGATGTGAAACGGTCTGTTAGGATCAAGGTTAGAGGTTGAACCTGCCTGCACAGCAGCAAACTTTGTCAAGGTTTTGTGTTGTTTTTTAAAGAATTGCTGCAGCACTGAATATTAGCCATGTTTGATGCTTGGTGTGGTTTGAGATGATTATTATTTGCTAAATTGCACACACAGACTTGCTCTTCTGTGACTCTAATCAGCCCAGAAAGTAACACACAAAGAGAGAAACTCTAGGAGACATTCCTGACACGCTTTTCTTTTTATTTTTTTAGCTGCATTCGAAATTATTCCCWGAAATAAATAATAGTTCGATGGTTCATTCATGTCACATGTGAATATTATTGAACTGCCACTGTTACCTCACAACATCTGCATGTGTGTGGGACTCGGAACGGACACGTTTCTGTTTCGGCGAGCGAATTTTAAAACACCACGGATGTGTTTGCATGCACTAAAGCTGTTCGTAAGCACAGAGCTATAACTTCACAGTGCCTTTTCATTTCTGCACGTTTTTATCTCCTGCATTTTTCTCCTCCCGTCAGCGTACGCACAAAAACGCAAAGCAACATCATTTGGCTACGTTCCCGCTGCAGGTCCTAATGCTCAGACGATTTTTACTCATATCTGATTGTTTTAGTGTTGTTCACGTCATTTAAATGTAGTTGCCGTCAGACTCCAGTGCTATAAGTCTAGCTTGAATATGGATGCTACATGTTAGCATGTGTGGATCGATGCTAGAGCTGTTTTGCAATCAGAGCCGACAAAATTATCTGCTGCATGTTTCGTCCAATGTTTGCATTCACTCTGGTGCAGAGTTGCACTTTTAGTGCAGGAAAGGCTGAAAATAACTGAAGCATCAATCTGTATCGATAATATCTGGATCTAGTTGTAAACACCTTCAGTAAAAGACCGTTCAGACTGCGTTCACTTTCAAAAACATCAGATATGTATCTGGTTCAGAATCACATATGTTATGGAAAAAATACTTCTTGTTTTAAACCAGTAATTCATGACAACTTTATCGACCCAGTTTTTCATGACACCGTTATCTGTAGATTGAATGATTTTARCCAGAACAAGATTTATTAACAGCAATCACTATTTAGCAGTGGTGGGCACAGTTCCTCTAAAGCACTAATAGGGGAACTAATTTCTTGATTAGTGCTTCAGGGCTTTTGCTAATTTTAAAATTTATTAGTGGATTAGCACTTGCTAAATTTAGAAGCACTAACTGAGGTCTAAATGTTATTGATCAACATTAATGTTAACAGCTGAGGGTGAAAGCTGTCACACATTTTGTTCATAATGTGTGTCACTKATCCACCAGGTGACAATATATGAACCCAAACACAGCTGTGGAATGTCAATGATGAGTCTTAACAGAGCAACATGRYAATATGTGACTCATGTTGTCTGTTGAAGAATATTCATGGGTTGACTGGGTGCTTTTAGTGCTTTAGAATTAGTTTTTGCCAAATTTTCAGTGTGTTAGTGCTTTAGAATTAGGGGACCTAAATATTTGAGTTAGTGTTTTAGGGCTAGTGGAACTAATTTTTAGGTTAGTGTTGCCCACCACTGCTATTTAGTTATCACTCATATTTACCTTTTGTGTTTGACCCTGTAAGGCGCTTAGGGTGAAATCATGCTTTATTAAAATGACATAATGTTTTTTTTAAACAGCATATATAAGAGGGGACAGACAGTCTGATGGCTCTGTTCATTTCTGTGGTTCTTGTTTATTGCAATAAACAAACTCAGTGGACCATTCTACAAAGTGACTTTATTACTTAAATTATATATTTCTGTTTCAAATATTTCCACAACAGGCCAGATTAAGCAAAAAAAAAAAATCTATCACTTTTTCCTGCAATGTGAACATAGCCTTGGATTTTAAAGCAGCTTTTACCTTGGAGGAGCTTTGTACTCTGCGTGGAGCTGCTGTTGTGCATGTYTGCATGACTGACGAGGGAGAACAAACCGTTTACACGGAGCTGTAACGAAACGTGTTTGTTCTGCATTCGACAAAGATTCAGAACCTGCAAACCGTGAAGGGACATGGTTAAGATTGCTGCATGGTTCTGTTGCAGTTTTTTTTAAACGCGTTCCAAACCCAATGAAGGTCACATTTTTGTATCTCACACACACATCACACCACGTGATCTCTCATTAGACTGTGAGGTTTAGATTGAGTCATTTTTGTAGCCWGAAACCAAAGAAATAATCGGAAATTGTCGGTTTCTTTTTTGGGGACAAGCTAACTTCAAAGAGCTAGAATGTGTTTGTGTTGGCTTTACATGATGAGGATTTAAAAAATAAATAAATATTGTAGCTTCCAAGCGTTAATGAATGCTCTGGATTTGTGTGCTAAAGTCTGAAAAATTTACCAGGATTGTTAGATTAAATCTTTGTGGTTTTTAGAGACAAATTAGAGGTAAAATTTGGAAATTTCTGGTATTTTATTAGGGATAAAGCTTGACTTTTGTTTCTGGTTTTGTGGATGAGAAATCTGTCATTAAAATAGTTTTTTATAGATATATATAATTTTATTATTGTTGGCTTTGACAAATAATTAGTGTAAAAAGATTTTAGTGCCTGTTCTGCCTGTTTAATATTACAGTAGCAAGTTTAACTTAAAATTTGTTTCATTCCTGTTTCAATGCAAATAAAAGGTCCATTATAGGCGTCATGACACACTTACAAGTTTTAGTTTTTTTATTTTTTTAGTTTGAGCTCGGAGAAGGAAAAGGTTTTGTTACTTTTCTTCTTTTTTTATTATAACTCTGCTGCCTTTAAATTGATCACAGCTCTGTTTGGTCTTTTGCTACTTTTCATGTTTCTGTAAACTCTGTGGCATTATGTTCAGGTTTTACATTTTTGGATAAGAGATCCCTGTCATGGCAGAACCTGACTGTTTTATTTTGTAGTTGCACATCCATTATTATTTTTAAGTTTGTGTTTTCTCCTTCCACCACTTTAGTACATCCTACCTCACAAATATTAATAATTTTATTGTCCTTAGAAACAGATTTGTTGTATTTAAAAATGCCCCTTTTTAATATAATTGCTTAAGTTGTAATTTCTGCTAACTTAAAAAAAGTTATTGTGGCTTAAAAAGTATGTGCAAAGTTGTTATTTTGCCTAATCAGTATTTAAAGATAAAGTTTACCTGTGATTTAAAAWAAATAAATCAACATGTCAGCCATTTTCAAATGGAAAAATTATATTTAATTTACAATTTATGAAGGAAATTCATGAGTATTAATGGAAACGTCTCAGTGAATAAAGAAAGCAAACAGTATAATAACAATGTAAGTTTTTCTCACCATTTACTAAACACATTCAAACATCTTCAGTTTACTCTCTGCGTTTTCTCATGTTTATCCTGATTTTTTTTGCCTCTTCTAAAAACATCATTTTTTTTCAGAAAGTGTTTTTCTTTGTACTCGTGTCACTTTTTTTTAAAGTTAAGCTTATGTTTTGGATCTGATGCACATCAATCTGTAGCCTTATTGTTGCTTGACAGGAACTGCCAGCATTTTACAGACTGAGATTTGTGTATCACGACTGAAGAAAATAATAAAGCATGTTTATTCACTAAAAATGTGTTGATTTCGATTTTTTTTTTTTTTTTACAAGTTACGGCAGAGGTAACTGAGAAACTTAGCTCTGTAGAGCTTTTCTTAGCAGATGCTGTGAGTGAAAAAAAATACTACTTTGACTACGACAGGGTGAGTCAAAAGTCACAGGACATCCTATTATTTCAGAAAGAAAGAKGAAAATGACATCTGAATATCCCACAAGTAATGGGTAGGGGGCCTATCTTTTAAGCTATGTCCACAAAATGGTCGACACCATGAAAGCCACCATATTGGATGAAGCGTAAGGTTTTCCCAAACATAAGTCGACTCACCCTTATTAAACTGGTGAAAGTTTTATAATGTTTGGCTAATTACTTGTATTTGTAAATGTTGAAAAGTTGAAAGGCTTTCTGCAAGATTGTTCAAATCTTCTGAAGAAGAGRAGAAGACTTCTGYAAGCTTGATWCATGAACTTCCCTATTTGACTCWTTAGCACCACCAGTGTTTGGACATGGAACTGCATCCACCGTCATCGCTCAGTCAGGGGTCAGATGAGTGACAGTACAGGGACACTTCAGGGGGCCAATCAGATTTCAGCTTGGGCTAAGGCCCCATTGGCCCCGCCCCTGATGCATAATATCTCATAATGACAAAGGAGATTCACTGGGTTGTCCTGAAGCCACTCTTTTGTTATCTTGACTGTGCTATTGGGCCAAAGTCCTTTTGAAAGATGAACCTTTGCCTCAGTCTGAGGTCCAGAGTGTAATCAAAGATGTGWTACATTACTGTGATCATCTTTCCCTCAGCCCTGACTAGTCTCTCAGCTCCTGCTGCTGAAGACYATCCTCAGAATGATGCTGCCACCACCGTGCTTCACTGTAATAATGGTATTGGCCRGTTGATGAGCGCTACCTGGTTTCCTCGATGTTTAGCCAGAGAATGTTATTTCTCATGGTCTGCCTGACCACTGTACCTGAYTGGTACAGTGTTGGAGAAAAATTTGGTCTGGAAGGTTCATCTCTCCTGACAGGTCAACGCTGGGTCTCTTTCAATCTGACCATCTGGTTCTTGGTCACGGCTACCTACAGTCCATCCACCATGATCGCTCAGGCTGAGCAGGATCCCAGCTCTACGAAACGTCCTGGTGGTTCCAAGTGTCTTCCATTTTCTGATGATAGGCCATGGTGTTAATTGGGATCTTTAATGCTGCTGCTTTGTGTAAACCTTCCCAGATCTGTGCCTCAATGCAATCCTGCCTCTGAGGCTTAAAGACAAATCATTAGACTTTAAGTTTAATTGGTTTAAGCTTTTTTGGGTTAGATGCATTAACGGTGTATTGCTGCCATTTCCTGTTAATTTCCATCAATCAGATTTGATTTATTAGACTATTTACTGTCTAGGTGCACATGGTCATTCATGTCCTGCATCATAGGTTCTGTTTTGAGCAAATTGTTAAAACTCCAGTGTGTACATACCTGCATACAATAAATACCTTATATCTGTGCWTACGTATGGTCCACAGGCCACCAGGTGAGTTACATAAACCAAACTTCCTGTATTTCTCCTGTGACTGTTTTTATTACATTCAGCAACATAATTTACATTTTATCATACAACGTCTTGATTGGATTACATTTGGACTAACTGACGTTCACATTTATTTTTCAGTGGGACATTTTTATTATTTGGTGCAATACGTGGAATTTGCTTTATTTGCAAAAAGTGACTATATGCAGCATGTAAACCTGGTGTTTTGTGGTCTTTGTCTTCTTTAAATCAAAGTTTTTGTCCGGTATAGTTCTGATCCAAACAGATTTCATCTCTTGGTGATGTTTTTCCATTTCATTGTTGGCGTCTCTTAGCCATCCTGAGTGTTAAAAWGAAAGAGAGTTATCAGAGCAGCAGGATGTCGATGAAATGGAGCTGATCTGTGACTTACCGTTAAGGAGGACTTGACTGCCTGTAACTGGAAGAAGACTCGTCCTCCCTCCTCTGGACACACCATCTTCAGCTCCTCTCTGCTCATTCCCAGCAGCAAAGGGCCACTCAGGACGCCCAGACAGCGCACAGTGCTGCGGGGGACAAAACAAAACAAAACAAAACAAAAACAAAAAACAAGTTCAGGTCACATGTACACAACAAAACTGTCCGCCTTTAAAACAGCAGAGTTCTGTTAGAGTGAGCTAAAAAGATATTAGAAATTATATTGTTCATTTTTGTCAGTCTCTGAAAGTCTGAAAACCTCCAAAACATAAAGGAACGTTAGATAGGATCTTCTCAGTATGTGCATACAGTACTTTGATTTTTTTTGAGTCATTGAAAAAAAAATACAAGTGTTTTGAGAAAACATTTGTCCAGAAGAAAAGAAAACATCAGCTACAGTAACAAGGTTATTCCTCTTTAAAGTGCCTGTGACATCAAAATTTCTGATAAATCTGAATGCACTTTTGGAAAGATAACACATTATATATATATAAATCACACCACTGACATGATCAGTTGTTGAGATATTTGCAAGTGTCGTGACAGGAAGTGATGTCAAGGAGGAATGTCTGCATGTAAAAAGAGCATCAACACAAAAGCTGACAACTCAAACTGTGAAGAAGAATCTGATTGGTTTATTTTTTGGATTATTTTGAGTCACTATCAAAGAGAAACGAGTCAGAGTTCAAATTTGTTTTAATAAACAAAGACCAGGGAGTTCCCTTTCTTAAAGTGTTCCCCTTTGATGTCACTTCCTGTTTCACTTTGACTGAACCAAGTTCAAAGGAAACAAAGGTAGAACTCGATGCCAAAACTGACGGACTGAAATCAGTGGCTCTGTTCAGGTGATACAGTGCGCACAAGACAGTGACGGATGGAATTTCGTACCCACTAACACACGGACGGACAAACAAAGGACAGCATGCCTCCTCGAGCAGAAGCATAAATATGCCGGTTATATGCCAAATTTCTTCTGTGTTCTTTTTGTGTTTGAAGAATAAGAATGTCACAGGCACTTTAATGTAAGTAATCATTTTATACTCTACATTGCCCATTAAAATTATTTAACTAGTAAGAATTTTTTTTTATTTTTCAGTTTAGTTCTAATCTACAATGACCTACATTTGGCTGAATCCCTTGTCCTCTAGCCAGGCTTTCACTTCTGGTGGTTTGGATCTCCTCGTTAAGACTGGAATCACTTCAGTTTGCTGAGAAAACAAAACAAAACATTGATTTTTACTTTTTCTGTTTGTTGGGTTTTCCAGTTCTGGACTGGAGTTTCTGAGTGGTACCGACCATGTCGGGTGGCGGCTTATCAGCAGCTTCCAGGACGTTGTTAGGAACGTATCCCTCCTCGCCGCTGCTGTTCCTCACCTTCCACCACTGCTTGGACTTATCCAACAGCTGTGGACAAACAGACACTAAATGCATAGCCTTAAAAACTTGTTTGGGTTCAGGATTCAGTGTCATTTTAAAGTCCTTGGGTTGGGCAGAAACGAATGTTCACCTCGACCACTTCTCCTCTCTGGACGGTGATCTCCCTGTGGTTCCTTGAAATGAAGTCTGTCTTCACTCGTATGGGCTGAGGTTTCATCTCATTTGAGCTGAAAAACAAAAAAAAGAGGTCAAAGTTGGAAGTTTTCAGGTGATCCTGGAGTAGAGTTCGTGGAGTATACCGTGTTTTCTGTGGATGTGGAGGTGGCTTCCACTTGGCAGGAGGCTGTGCAGAAAAATAAAGTTGCTCTTTCATGTCTCGTAGAATTGGAAGGATGGGATTAGAAATAATCCTCACCTGTTGATTTACGCTGTGTTCTGCTGGTTGCAAATGTTTTTGGCTCGGTGCAGGTCTTGGACTCGGTGCAGGTCTTGGACTCGGTGCAGGTCGTGGACTCAGTGCAGGTTGTGGACTCGGCTGTCTACTTGCAGGGTGGCTCGGCGGTGGGGTCGCTGTAAGTTGAGGGGGCTGCCAGCCATCTGAGAACTCCAGGGTGTAGGTTGGGATGTCCTCGTCATCTTCTGGCCATTGAGTGCTGGAAGCAAAAGCCAAACCATGTGATAATCAGCTCATGGCAGCAGCTTTAGTTTTTCTGTCTCATCAAATGACTGGTTTCGTTGTACCTGGGGATGTTCCAGGCGTCACCCAGAGACTGCCACAGCTGATCCTCCTCTGTGGACGCCTCCTCGCTCAGGAGACGGATACACTGGGGGCTCAGCAGGGGGGCCACGATGGTCGGAGGCAGGGCTTCAGAGCAGTGAGACACCATCTGGTGAAAAATGAACCAACTGTCAACAAGAAGCCAGCAGGACAGGAGTGTTTCTGTCTGGTTCTGCCAAAACAGGCACAAGATTTGCTTAATTATTAGCAGAAGTAGTTGACCTACAGAACCGCTCAACGGTTTTTGAAACACCCACAGGGTAGGCTCCTGAGCTCAAGACATAAAGCAGCATTTATCAACATAATTTAGCAACTTAAATAATGTAGGGGGCTTGGGGTGCACAAAAAAAAAGATTCACATCAGAATCTATTTAAAATGTCCCTAAATCTATTATAAAAAAACAAAGCAAATCCAATGGTCGTCAGCCTCCATTTTTTAACTACATCCTGACGTCATCACACAGCTGGTTCTGGAACATGCAGACAGCACCAAAACAAAGAGGAAACTACAAAACTGGAGGAAAGAGAGATTCAACTGGCCCTGTCTTCAGTGAAGGCAAAGATTTGGGCTCATTTTGGTTTTTACTGAATGAGTCTGAGTTTGATTTGAGCTTCACTGTGTGCCAAGTTTGCAAAATGAAGATTAAGCACTTTGGGAACACATCTTGGGAATATATATATAT